AAGAGGCCCAATTTTAAACTCAATTATGTTTTTAATATGTTTTAAAACATAAAACAAAAAGCCGTACGATTTCAAAACACCCCATTTAAGATTTTCACCAAGATTTTCTCACTTGTTTTGAAATATTCTCTCAAGAAATCTCAAAGAATCTCAAAGTCTCTCTCATCTCTCTTGACGCTCCTGCCAATCCAATCCTCGGTCTCCCTTCTCTCAGGATTGGACTGAGGATCTGATATGACTCAATTCTTCCATTCATTGTGCTCAGGTTGGTCATTTTTGTTGTTGCTCATATGGATAAGTTCTCCAGCACTCATGTACTTTTATGCTCAGGAGAGCACCTCGACAAAGGTTGTTGGGTGGCTTGTTTCCCAACAAGTACAAGAACTTCTCGTTCTTCAGGCTAGCCTTGAAAGCGTGATGGATATTCCATCGGTATGGCTGTCGACTCCGAACTGCTTGTTATTAAATTTGGCCGCATAGTCATTGAGGCTTTCGTTTGACATTTGCTTGATGGTGCGAAGGTGTGGCAGGCCTTAATCGATCTCGACCTTCTAAAAATTGGGTTATAAAGGCTCGGGTAAGCTCTTGAATAGAGCAAATGAACTTCCTAAAAGAGCAAACCAAGAGTGGGTGAACCCGATAGCAAGTCAAAAACATGTAAGTGAAACTGGTTATTTAACTTTTATATTATTTTACTTGTACTAAATCTATCATATTATAGGAATAAATGATTGAACTGAGAAATGCTCTTGTTGAAGAAGGTGTAGAACCTCCATCAGCTCGAGAAGTATCTGTGCAAGTGTTAGGTAAGCGTGGTGCACTTGGATGGGGACCACCAACATCGAATGCTCGTAATGAACGAAGTTCCCAAAACTTTAAGGAATCACATAATCCAATCGCATAACTACAAGCTATTGTGGAATCACAACAAGCATTGATACAATTGCAACAAGGCATAATTGACTCAACAGTGGCTGAAATAGGTCAATTGCGAGAAATAGTAATGAGGTTAAACGCCCAATCACAATAGGGAAGTAGTTCTCAGCCGCTCAATGACACTTAAAAAGGTACACATACAAAATTTTCATAGCTTCTATTATCTCATGACTTATAATAGATATTTGAAATTGATGTAGTGGAATCGTTGTGACTATCCTGCAGTTATGGTAGTCATAATTGTTCATAAAGCTTGACTAGATATTAATGCATGTACTTTTAGATTTGAGTTTTTGATGTATTTGAATCGTTGTGACTATCCTGCAGTTATGGTAGTCGTAGTTGTGCATAGAAATTGACTAGA